TCAGGGAAAAAAATGTAAGAAAATATAAAAATGGAATAAATAATTGCAAGAATAAAAATGTAGATAAAAACGAAGATGGGTTTTTTTGTAGAGTTTGACTCTAGCTTTCACCAACAGCTGCTTGTCTTCGTACACATCTTGGCTTGTGGAAGCAGGAAGATGGTTCACGGTATGTATTGTATATATTGCTGTCAAGAACACCTGTTTTTATTGAGGGAAATAAGAAACTTTAACCAAGACTTCTACCAATGATTTTTGGCCAGCAAGTTTAATTTAAATCATTTCTACAGCAACACCTTGAAAAGATGAGCTTTTGCGTCAAACTGAGCGAAATATAGCGGTTGATCTTGCATTGCTTTGCACATCTAAAACAATAGTCACATTCACTGTCAAACCCGCCATTTCTAATTTGTAGATAAAGACTTAAAAAACAAACGGTCTAGAATCAGTACATTTTTGTAAGTTTGTAAGGAATTCATGACCTAAGCACTGTTTAATTTCACCGTACTTTTCATTGCAAATTTGTCAGTGGTAACTGAAAGAGCGGAATTTTTTTGATTCGTAATGGTTTATAATTCTCAGCGGCAGGTTGTACAAGTAGCGTTATCCACAAACGAAATTATCATTAGCAGATAAAGTAGGCCATACAAATTCTATGGGGTGGCGATAACCTATCCAATTTTCCTACACAACCAGCCCCAGATATCAAGCAATCACTGCCATTTTAAAATAATCTCTAGTGGGCTTTAACCCTTTTWTACTTGGGTACAAAGTTTAGCCTCTGGAAATTCAGCATTGCAGGAACTAACATTACGCGTGTTATATTTGATGAATAGACCTCTAAAGCTTTTACGTCATGTACCGTATACGCAATGCATTGTAGGATATGTTTGGGACAGAACATGGCGGATTTCTTTTGTTTTCTCTAGAAATTGATCCCACAATGCATTGAAAATCGAGTAGTGACGTAAAAGGTTCAGAGGTCTATTTTAAAACAAGATTTGGATTCATTCAAGACAGGTGAAAATCAGCAAAGAACATTTTCCGGATCCAAAACTATCGGCATATCACCAGTATAATAACCGGTATCCACAGTAAAAAAATACGGCATGTATAGTTGTTGTACGTTGTCCTAACCATTTTGATCGATCTAAGTTCGAACTATTTTTGTTTAAATTATTCGTAGGTTTGAATATCCTTGCACATTGGAGACTCAATGGATCAGAAACTGGACTAACGTAGGTTGATTTTGTTTTTGATGATGAATCATTTTTGTAGTTCCAACCTCACTAAGATCGTTAATTTAATTCCCCACGATTGAGAATGATGAAGCATGGCCTATATGCAAACAATGTTATCCTAACCAATGAACCACCTGAAAGCTACATTTATGGAGATCCAGCTGTTTAATACATAGTGTGCTCTCAAATATTAATGTCTACCCCTCTCTTTGAGAACTCGATCCGCCCTTGTTAGTCA